TGCTGAAATTGAAAAGGACTTAAAACATTTACTGATGAAGATCAAAGAGCACAGCCTTCGGTATGGATTGCATCTCAATGTCAAGAAAACAAAAATCCTCACCACTGAACCAATAAACAACATTCTTATCAACGGAGAAAAGATTGAAGTTGTCAAGGACTTCATTCTTCTTGGATCAACTACCAACACTTACAGAAGCAGCAGTCAAGAGATCAGACAGTGTATTGCTTTAGGCAAATCTGCTGCACAAGACCTTTTAAAAGTGTTGAAGAGCAAAGATGTCAGCTTGAGGACTAAGGTGTGCCTGACCCAAGCCATGGTATTTTCAATAACCTCATATGGATGCAAAAGCTGGACAGTGAATAAGGAAGATCTTAGAAGAATTGATGACTTTGAATTGTGGTGTTGGAGGAGAATACTAAAAGTGCCACGGACTGTCAAAAGAACCAATAGATCTGTTTTGGAAGAAGTGCAGCCAGAGTGCTCTTTAGAGTCCAAGATGGCTAAACTTTGTCTCTCATACTTTGGACATATTGTCTGGAGGGAACAGTCACTGGAGAAGGATATCATACTGGGTAAGGTGGAGGCTCGGAGAAAAAGATGAAGACCCCCAACAAGATGGATTGGCCAGGTGGCAGCATTGATGGACTCAAGTGTGGCAGTGGTAGTGAGGTTGGCCCAGGATCGGACATTGTTTTGTTCTACTGTGCATGGGGTCACTATGAGTCAGTTCTGACTCGATGGCACCTGACAACAACAACCAAAGACCCAAAGAGTTGTGGGTGACATCAAGAACATGATACATGAAGAAAGCAAAAGGTCACTAAAAAGAAAAGACAAAAATGGGCATCAGAAGAGACTTTTAAACTTGCTGTTGAGCATAGAGAAGCAAAGTGACTGGAAAAAATAAGGAAGTAAAAGAGGTGAACAGAAAATTTCAAAGGCCAACTGAAAAAGACAAAGACAAGTACTATAATGAAATATTCAAAGACCCGGAGTTAAGACATTTCTCAAGCTAAAAGAACTGAAGAAGAAATTTGAACCTTGACTGGCAGTACTGCATGGGCAAAATATTGAATGATGCAGAAAGCTTTAAAATAACATGAAAGGAATACACAGTCACTGTACCAAAAAGAAATGGTCGCTGTTCAACCATTTCAAGAGGTAGCATATGATCAAGAACTGATAATTGCTGAAGGAAGAAGTCCAGGATGCACTGAAGGCATTGCCAAAAAGCAAGGTTCCAGGAATTGATGGAATACACACTGAAATCTTTCAACAAACTGATGCAGCACTGGAGACACTCACTCATCTATGCCAAAAATTCTGGACAACCTGGCCAACCTACTGGGAGAGATCAATTCATGTCCATTTCAAAAAGAGGTGACCCAAAATAATGTGGAAAGAATCGAACACTATTATTAATATCACATGCAAATAAAATTTTGCTGAAGATAATTTAAAAATGGTTGCAACAGTAGTACATCAACAGGGAGCTGCTAGAATTACAAATCGGATTCAGAAAAGGATGTGAAACAAGGGATATCATTGCTGACATCAGATGGATCTTGGCTAAAAGCAGAGAATACCAGAAAGATGTTTACTTGTGCTTTGTTGACTATGCAAAGGCTTTTGACTTTGTGTGAATCATGACAAACTATGGATAACATTTCAAAGAATGCATATTCTAGGGCACTTCATTGTGCTCATGAGAAACCTATTCATAGACCAAGAGGCATACATCAGAACTAAACGAGGAGATACCTCTTGGTTTAAAATCAGGAAAGTTGTGCTCTAAAGGTGTATCCTTTTACCATACTTATTCAATCTGTATGCTGAGCAAATAATTTGAGAAGATGGATTATATGAAGAAGAGTATGGCATCAGGATTGGTGGAAGACTCATTAACAATGTGCTTACTGGAAGTTAAGAGGACTTAAATTGAAGATTAAAGACTACAGTCTTCTATGTGGATTGCATCTCAATGTCAAAAAAGCAAAAGTCTTTACAGCTGGACCAATAAGTAACATCATGATAAATAGAGAAAAGATTGAAGTTGTCCAAGACTTCATTTTACTTGGATCCACAATCAACACTCATGGACGCCACAGTCAAGAAATCAAAAGATGTTTTGCATTAAGCAAATTTACAGAAGGCCTCCAATGTGTTAAAGAGTTAAAATACCAGTTTGAGGAGTAAGATTCACTTATTTTCAGTTGCCTCGTATGGATGTGAAAGTTGGACAGTGAATAAGGGAGACCATAGAAGAATCAATGCATTTGAATTATGGTTTTGGAGAAGAATATTGAAAGTAACATGAAAAAAAAAAAAAAATACATGTACTTCCAGAAGAACAAACAAATCTGTCTTGGAAGAAATGTAGCCAGAATGCTCCTTAGAAATTAGGATGGTGAGATTTTTTTCTCTTATACTTCAGACTACTTATCAGGAGGACCAGCCCCTGGAGAAGGACATCATGCCTGGTAAAGAGGAGGGTCAATGAAAGAGAGGAAGACCCCAGTGAGATAGACACAGTAACAGCAACACTGGGCTCAAACATAACAAAGATTGTGAAGATGGCACAGGATCGGGCAGTTTATCTTTCTGTTGTGCACAGGGTCACTGTGAGTCAGAACTGACTGGACAGCGCCTAACAACAACAACTACTAAGGTGAGTGCCCTGGTTGGCACTGGACTGTTAGTCTCATTTACTGCAAGGTCAGCTGTTCAAACCCAGCAGCTGCTTTCAGAAACCCTATATAGGGTCACTGTGAGTCAGAACTATGGACACACAACAACAGCACAGCAAGATAAAGATCTCCTGGTGGTGCTGTGGGGTAAACACCTGACTGCTAACTTCAAGGCCTGAGGTTCAAAGATGAGGCTGTGTGCTGCCAGTCGTGGAAGCCCTGTACAGGGTTGCTATGAGTGGGAATTGACACAATGGCAGTGAGTATATTAAGATAAAGTATAACTGAAATACACTGACTGCATTTGGTGTATAGATCAGTTGCATGAATATAGCAAACTCAGTGAGGTCTGGCTTGATAGCAGCAAGGGGGAGAATCCTAGGAGTTTTAACTACAGACTTGTGAGTAAGTCATCTTCTGCCTCTGTTACAGAGATGAGTGCAGCGGTGAAGGGAGAGCCAGTGTTGTCTGGTGTTACCTGGGTTCTGTATCTGTTTCTCACCAACATTTATAAACTAGAAATTGATCCATCCGATTTTTGTAAACAAAGAATGAAGAAAGCTTGGAAGCTGTGCCATGGGAGGACTAATTGAGGGAATGATGTATATGAAACCTAGAGAAGGAAGCCTTGTAGGTGTTCATAGTGGTTTTTGGGTGTTGGATAGGGTTGTTAGGAATAAGATTGATTTACCTTGTTCTGTGTTCAAAAAGAACACTTAAAACCATTTAGTAGAAGCAACAGGAAGGCAGATTTGGGTTTAATGGTGGGATGGATATACTTTCAAACAGTTACAGTTGATCACAAATAGATTGTGCTATTTTACAAAGCAGTGGATGCTTTACAGTGGGACAGAGTGAGGCTGGTGTGGCGCTGCGGGTTAATGCACTGGACTGCAGTCATTTGAACCACAACATCGGTGGTTCAAGCTAACCAGTCACTCCTTGGAAATCCTATACAGGGTCGTTATGGGTCGGAACCGACTTGACGGCACTTAACAACAACGTCAGAGTGCTAGGAGTCCTGGCGTGACTCTAGGATAAACACTGGACTGCTAAGGACAAGATCAGCGGTTCCAATCCACCAGCTTTTTCTCGGAAACTCAATACAGGGTTGTTGTGAGTCAAAACCGACTCAACGGCACTTGACAACAACAATCAGAGATGTTACGGGGGAGGAGATTCATTTTAATTTTCATAAAAAGCACACTAAATAGTTAACAGACTTTCATGTATTTACCAATCAGATGTAATGTTTTGATATTTATCACATTTTCTTCATGTCTTTTTTTTTTTTTAAAGATACAAAGCATTACCCCAACCCCCAGCCTGCTCTCCTCCCTTCTTCCCCAGGTTGGTGTGATGCCTGCTTGTGCATGTTTGCATACTTTTTGCTGTTTATGTATGTGTACCTATCCTGGTGTGGCACTGTTGGTTAATGCACTGGACTGCAAAGTTGGTTTGAACCACAAGCTCACCAGCTGCTACTTGGCAGCTGGTCGCTATGGGTCGAAACTGACTCAACAACACTTAACAACAAAACAACAATTTATATGATGCAGTACATAGTATTATTTTGAATTACATTTCTTTTTTTCAAAAGTCTTCTATTGTATAAGGGAGCTTTTAATAATTTTTGACAAGAATGAAATGAAAAGATTATGGAATTTTCCCACACACTTTTGGAAGCCACCTCATAAGCAAATATACAATTATTTATTATTTTACGAAAAGTTTTTAGGCTTTTCTTGCTATGCAGTCCTACATTGAATATCATCATCCTTGTCAGAAGAGAAGATTCCTCTAGGAAATGGTCTAATGAGCTAAATGGTCTAATGCCCCTTCCAGCCCTACGATTCAAACTTCATTGCAACTCTGTCAACATTTTCTGGTCCCTGCTGATAAAAAGATTAAGACACGATCCCTGCTCAGGCAGTTCACTTAGACTCAGAACACTATGTTATTTTATTGTTCTTAATTGCATTTTTAGGTGTCCATAAAACTTAGCTGGTTTAGGAAATCAGTTACCTTTACTTATGGGCATAGTCTGGGATAGCTGTAGTTTTAGAGCACAATTTTCAATCTGAAGTCTCAAGTTTAATTTTTTTATTGCTGTGATGATTTATGTGTCTGAAGAGAAGCATTTGAAATTACTTTATTTTCCAGAGCTGTTTTGTTTGTTTATGATTTTTATTAAAGAGAAATGTTTTCTGTTTCACCCTTCTATTGAACTTTGCTCCTTAAAAATCAATAAATGCCACTCATGCTAAGTTTCTTTATATGCTTTTGTGTATATGTGTATTGTGTTTTTAGGAAAAAGGCTCAGCTCAAGAAAAAAAGGGGTGTACCTCAGATTAATGAACAAATGCTATTTCATGGGACCAGCAGTGAATTTGTGGAAGCAATTTGCATTCATAACTTCGATTGGCGAATAAATGGCATACATGGTGCTCTCTTTGGAAAAGGTAATTTTCAGAATTCTAGGTTCAGTTTGAGTTTAGGAGAGAATCTCTTCTCTTTCGGGAAAATGGATTGTTTTGTAATCCTGGGGTTTTGATAATTATTAGAAGTTACTATATTAGGTTCCTGGCATACCCTCAGAGATTTTAAATCACAGAAAACTCAGTGCTTGCATGACATGACAGAAGTAAGACTTTTACACTTTTACCAGATTAACTCGCTTCCCAAGCCCAGTCATTTCCATATGTGACATCGGGTCCTTACTAGCTGTTTTTTTTTAAAAATGATAGTTAATTCAGTGTCCTTTCCATACACAAGTCTACTCAGTAAACTGATATATGGTAAATAAATAAAGAAAAATCAGATTAATTACATTTTACATAGTTGTAGGTGCTAGATTTTACATTTTTCTTGTTAGAACATGATAGATAAGTTTAATCAGTAATAAGAAATAATAGAGGATAAACCTCACCTTATAGCTAATGGTTGTGAAAGTCCAAGTTCACTATTTTATGCCCAGTACTCAAGCATATTAAGGAAGGATAAAGGGAAAGGTGCAGATAGACATGCATTGTTCTGGCCCCTGTTTTGTACCTTGTTTACATCCAGCAAAAGAAGTGGCTGCCATTTAGACTGGGATGTGCTGCCTTTTAGCAAAGCACATCCATTATTTTAGTTACTGTTGAAAAGGCCATCCCGCTCATTTACCTCTAAGAGGATCAGGAACGTGTTAAACAAATCCCATAAACATTGGTGAGAATATTCCTTGATGATGTCAAACTCTTAGGCCTCCCACTGAGGAAGACTTAGCTGCTTTACTGAGTTTTCATATATGTATTTAGGCAGTGAGCAGATCAGTGGAATTGTTGTTTTCAAATGCCCAGGTAGGATTAACATTGTGCTCACTCAGAATACTTATCCTGGATATGGGGTTCTATTATTTACAGAAATATTATTGGTAACCCTATATCATAGACATAATGATTTTCTAGGGTTCTGAATCATGACGTTAGACCAGTAGTATTTAGACTGTGCTACCCTGAGCCTCACTGAATGCAGGAAAAATGTAGTGGAGTGTGGAGACTGGTGGGGAGAAACAGGAAAGGAAGGGAGATCCAAGCAGTTAAAACTGAGGCCCTCCCACCCCTTTAACCACAGAAACTGTGTTGTTATCTGTTTTCCATATTCAGTTTCATTTTAAGGTTTCTTTTGAAAACAGTTCTGGTCATTACATTTGGAGGCTGGGGGCTGCTCTATGCCAACCTACCCACCCATCTAGCAGGCTGTGCCACAACTGTCCTTAGCAGAAGGATGGCTCTTCTTTTCTTAAAGATCTGTAGAGGAGGAAGTCCCACATCTCTGTTTGTTATTTAAGTCTCTGTGTCTATTCCCCTGACAATGAAAGCGTTGTTTTTGTTGTTGTTGTTGTTGTTGTTTGTTTGTTTGTTGCTTGTGTCTAATACCTTCATAGGGGTAATCTTGGTTCTTTTTGGTCCTTTTGTTTAAGGAACCTATTTTGCTAGAGATGCTGCTTATTCCAGTCGCTTCTGCAAAGATGACATAAAGCATGGAAACACATTCCAAATACATGGTGTCAGCTTGCAACAACGGCATCTATTTAGAACATATAAATCTATGTTTCTGGCTCGAGTGCTAATTGGAGATTACATAAATGGGGACTCTAAATACATGCGACCTCCTTCCAAAGACGGGAGCTATGTGAATTTATATGACAGCTGTGTGGATGACACCTGGAATCCAAAGATTTTTGTGGTTTTTGATGCTAACCAAATCTATCCTGAGTACTTAATAGACTTTCATTGATTGCACTATCAAGTCTCAGTGACCAAGGAAGTTTGATTCTTTCGTGCAGCAAGATTTGCTCTCCTATCATCTAGCCACTAAACATTAATTGTCTGATACTTTTGAAACAGATATGAGAAACAAGTGGCCTCCATATAAAAAGACATACTGACATTAAGGTTGGTTTTTAGTTGGTGTTTTGTTTTTGTCTGGTACTTATAGTCCTATTTTAAAAAAATTGACACCATTGCCATTTTAACCCATGGGGTGTGGGGCTGGTGGGGGTGAAGCTACCATTCAAAATTGATTCCGCTGTGTCTCAAATAGCATGGGCATTCACAGCCTTTAAAGTTGATGCATGTATTAACAGGGTACATGTTTTTCAGTTCAAATAAACTGATTCATATATATGTTCGGAAAATGAAAATATAGGCATAAATGTGCCCCCTTGGAGGAATTCATCGTTTGCAAGTTGAATTCTGGTTTTACTATCTCGACAGTCACCAGCATGTTGCTTTGTTGGTCTTCTGAAGGACGGAGGGGGGACTTAAAACCCTGGACAGGCTGAATACCTGGAAAGAAATCAGAAACAAGAAGATTGTGTGCAGTGCTGCTAAACAGGCCAGAAGGAGAAAATCAAGGTCAAGTGTCCGGCTTCCAGTTGCCTTAGGATAGCAAGCTGCAGTCTCAGACTTGCTCTCATCACTTTCTTCAGTCTCCTACATCTGAATTGACAAGTGCTACAGACTGTCACTAGCCTGCAGTTCATTCACCAGAGCTCCTGAGTCCTCTGCACCAAGCACAAGGTGCTTATTGCATCTTAAAAGTGAAACTTTTATTATTTTAATAATTTATTTTCCCTTTGTTTTGGGGTCCCTACAGTAATCCCTTCTATAATGTTCTCATTACCTACCAATGTTGTTACCAACCAGCAATCAGCCATGATGTCTACATTTCCTGTTTCCAAGTTGTTTCTCTACTTATGAATCATTGCAGAAAGGATAAGATGCTTGAGACAAAGCTGATTTTAGCTTTTTGAATAGCAATCGATAATCTACTGATTTTCTTGAAAAATGAGATACAATTCATGACTACAGTTAATGAGAACTTGTGTGCCTGTCCCATCTTTTTGCTCTTCTATTTAAATGAAGAATCAGTTCATGCTGGGACAGCTTCCCTGGTCCTAAAGATGGTCCAGCAGAGGCTGGACAACAACTTGGCAGAAATGTTTTATGGGAGTTCAAATATGAGATGAGGGATTGACTGTATGATTGTCAAGAGTCTGTAATCTTGAATTGCCCGGATTCTACCTGAGAAAGTGAGTGCAAAGCCTTCCCAGGAAACCTTTTTCTAATTCTTTCTATCAATAAATTCTCTGCATTCCCCTTCCCCAGTTTGGTTGAACTGAGTAAGCAGAATGTTACTTTTCCAGGGAAATCCAGTTATGTGTCTGTTGTTCATGCCTGTGTTGTCCAGTTTAATCCTTTGATACCGTACAAGTAAAAAGCATAGAGCGGGACTAGGAATGGTAGCTCATCAACAGTCATATTTCCCCAGATTTGTACTCTCACCTGTCATCATTGTTAAGTGCCATCGAGTCAATTCCAACCCATAGCGACTCTGTATAGGGTTTCCAAGGAGCAGTTGGTAAGCTTGAACCATAGACCTTGCAGTTTAAACGACTTTGCAGTCTGACGCATTAGCCCGCAATGCCACACCAGGACTCCATTCTCACCTAGACTACCTATAATTATGCAGTGGGAAGTAAACAATACAGAGAAAATTGTATGTGCAATACTTAGAAACAAAGAGGCAACGAAGATGTCCTGAGTCAGATGTGCAGACCAGTAGCCTGGGTAGATGAGGTGGCTAGTTAGAGAGAACATATTTTTAAAACGTTCAGAGACCATCATGGAGAGAATTGGAGGAAGAGTCAGTAGATTGCCTTGTGACAGGTAACACAATTCTGCACTAGACTTTAAAAAAAAAGCAGTGTTAAGAATTCAGATTTTGAACATTTTTTGATCTATTTGTGTGTTATCTGCATTCAAAACAACAACAAAAAAGCACCCCAAAAAACTGTTGAGTTCCCTTCACACCTTTGGACTGTCTGGTTTTTCTGTTAAAGTTTATTGTTTTTTTTCTTTTTTTCTAATTTAAAATGAGTACTTCCCACTTGAATACATGCTGTGACATTTCAGGTTATTCTTATCGACATCTTATTCCAAGGTGCCCAGAGTTGAGTATTTGCAAGGTAATCTATGTGAATGAACTCTGAGCTGAAGTGTTTGGCTTTATGTATAGTGAGCATTTTAGAGTGCGCCACTGTTGCCATCGTAGAAGTGTACTGTGTTGTTTGTCTTCCCGTGTACTAACGACTTTTTATACATTCTTTAAAGTGTGGCAGTGTAGAATCAATTGATGTTAGAATTCTATTTCTTGGTCTTGGTTAGTAGGTTGAGTTGAAAATCACATAGCAAGACTGGACTCCACCATTTGCCATCTTTTTTCCTCTTGACCCCACTGAGTTTTCATGGGAGGAGTGAAGAGAAGACCTTTCAGATAAATGAATGAATTTTTAAATCCTACATTGAACAGTTTCCAGCAGATAGTGACTTTTGTTTTTCACTCTGGTGATATCAGCCTCAGGGTTAAAATAAATGACATTTATTAAATAGTTTCATAAGTCTTTTGGTTATGAAAGGTTTTATGTTAGTACAACATTTCATTTCCAGATTGTTGATGGTGATAATGATAACAGAATTTGGAGCCATTTTTGATATATGAGTATACTGTTTTTACATGCGATTAAAGCTTTCCCTTGCAGATCTTGGTTGTCTGTGTATACCACATGTTGATTTCTCTAATTTCTGTGTCCCATCTCTACAGTGTATTATGTAAACCCGAGTCTCCAGCTCAAACTTAATAGATTCTAAGGAATTTGTTGCCTATATATAGCCTTTATGTAGCCTCTTTGTAGATGGGGCTCTGGGAGGGGTAGAGGGAGTCTGCTGTTCTTAGTTTGAATCATCTTGAGCAACAGCTAATCAAACAGCCTGTGGCAAAAATCATTCTTTCTTTGGTATTGAAAATTCCCAAAGAGAGGAAGCCCTGGTGCCTGCCACAGCTTTTCTCCTTAGTGTGTTCCCCTAGCTCAGAGGAGCAGTTTGGGAAGGGGGTGCCTTCCTCTCACATTCAGAAGATGCTTCCCACGGTACACCCCTGCTGCCATGTTGGCACTCTTTCCTTTTGAAACCAGTTAAATGTTTCATTTCTCTTTAAGCTTCCATTGATAGAAAGGAAAGTGTCAGTGGATCTCCTAATTTTAAAGCTGAGAAAAATGAGGGCCAGAATGATGAACACTTACCTGTGAGGGGGAGAAAAATACAAGTTCTTCTGGCCCCCAAACTGTCTCAATATTTAAGTGATTTTTAAGAATTACTGGGATAAGAATTCCATCAAGCTTTGGCTGAAGATGGACCAGCACAACATCTTTAGAGAATTTGTTCCTAAGTCATTCAGGGCTACCTCCCAGACTAATACGAGAAGTAGCCGTGCATTGGTCATTTTTATGCGTTAAAGCCCACATGTTCCTCTCTCCTCGGGAAATGATGTCTTGTTTGGTTTTAAGTGTAACATTTTCATTTACTTAAAATAGAGTCCATTTCTAGATGAAATGACACATTCTATTCTTATAAGAGAGAAAGAGAAAAGATAATGAAAATATAGCTGGAAAGGAGAAAGCCTTGTTGAGAATTATTTTTGATTAGAAATTTTAGCAAGGTGATTTTCCTCACTTTACTGATTTTGCTTATTTTTATCCTTTGCAACTACATAAAGGAAGAGGTTTAATGAAACCAGCTGTCCTGCCTCACTTTCACACTAAATAATTTTATGTTGTTGCTTGGGGCAACACAGATGGAAGAAGTGAACATTTCAGAGAGCCATGAAGTATACAATTATTTGGGGACTGCCTGGTTAGTATGAGTCATATACACAAAGAGAGTTGAGTCCTAAATATTTAAGAAGGACGTTCAAATGTCAACCAACAACCCTTTTACAAAGGTAATTCTCATGTTTTCGGCGGTTTTAAGATGGAAGAAAGGTGGTTTTGGAACTCATGTGGTCTTTCTCTCTTACCTCCCATCTAAACTAGAGTAGACTAGACGTGGTCCATCCCAGGTAATAAGATGTCGTGGGTACTGTGAATATCTAGGCAGCCAGTGCCTTGCTATATCTGATCTAAGGCTCCTGCTACAAGGGTGTGTATGTAATCTGGTTCTCAGCTTTAATATTTGGTTGTCATTCTTCATGCTGCAGGCCAAGCGCTTAGCTTTTATTTGAGCTGTCTGACTATGACTCTGTATGTAAGCATTGAACATTGGTCTTACTCATTTTTTAAATCACTTCTCTTGAGCCTGGAACATAATGTTGCACCAAAGACAGTTGTGGTTTCTATAGCTTTTTAGCTGTGCTGTACTCTGTACAAAGAGGTTATACAGTGACTCTGTGGCTTAGGTTAACGTCACTATGGTAAACTTGCTTAGGGGAGTTGTAATCCAGAATTGAATTCAAGTCACTTTTGTAATATTAATGACAAACCCTGTGCTTTCTGTTGTTTAAAACAAAACCCCAAACAAACCGTTTCCTGAAGGGTTTATTACACTTTAAGGTCTCCTCAATAAACACTGGACCACAAGTTGGTTTGATCAAAGTCAGTGGTTCAAACTCACCAGCCGCTTCTCAGAAACCCCACACAGGGTTGCTATGAGTCAGAAAGGCACTTAACAACAGCAACAACAAGAGAAAATGCGGAGGCTGCAGGCTGTATAAACCCATGTTTAATTACCACTGTTGGAAGAATCAGCGTGCAAACCCATTCCTTCCTTTTTCTTTCTCTAAGCAGAAGATCTGATAGTATAGTGGTTACCAATTGGGCTGCGAACCTCAACGTCAGCAGTTCAAAACTACCAGCTGTTAGCAGGAGAAAGATGAGGCTTCCCGCTCCCGTAAAGATTTACAGCCTCGGAAACCCTGTGCAGGGTAGCTATGAGTCGGAACCAACTCCACGGCACATGACAACAAGAAGCACAAGATCAGGCTTCAGTTGGGAGCTGGCTGTCCTGACTTTTATTTTTGGCTTTACTGTTTGACTCAGTGTGACTTGAACCTCTCACCAAAGGAGGAAGGCTTGCTTTTTAGAAGGGAAAGTTTGTGAAGGACTGCTAGATTCTTGATGCAAGGAAAAGATCTGATAGAGCCGACAGACAGAGGAAGTTGTTTGCTTGTTAAATATTTGAGTGTGAGTCTAGAGATCATGCTTCCTTAAGAAGAAAGAAATCAGAGCTTGAAGGAGGAAGGGGAAAGGATCAACCTGGTTCTTCCTGAAACTCTGCCTGCTGAACTCCCTGCCCCTCTTGATGTTGACAGCTCAGTTCCTGTACGTGCCTGGTAGAAACCAGTTTGACATGGCCTCTGCTCTCAGGGAACTCATCTAGCACGGGGTAGAAATACCGAACTGTAAGGACAA